CAAGTAAGTGACAGCCACTTCTACCTTAAGAAATTAAGGGATAAAAAAGTAAATGAAATCCAATGTAGATGAAAGGAATTAATAAGGATCAGAGAGAAAATCAGTAAAGTAGAGAACAAAAACAAAAAAGATAAATTCAGTAAATCCAAAAACTAGACCCTTGAGAAAGTCAATAAAATTGATAGAATCTATCCAGACTGATCAGGAAGAAAAGGAAGAAGAAACAGATTACTGAAGGAAAAAGAAAGATGATATCATGACAAAGTCAACAGACGTTAAAAGAATAATAAAAATATTATGAACAATGTTTTTGCCAATAATTCAGATGAAATGGATAAACTCCTTGAAAGACAATAGTAACAATGTTTTCTCTACAAGGAATGGATAACCTGAACATCCCTTTCATCCATAAAAGACATTGAATTTAGAGTTAAAAGCCTTCCCACAAAGACAACTCCAGGACTGTATGCATTTATTGATGTATTCTATGAAGCATTTAAGGAAGAAATGATATCAAATCTATACAAATTCTTATAGAAATTGAAAAACACCACCATTAGTCATTAGGGAAGTGACCAATTCCAACCACAATGAGATACTACTTGCTATGGACTGAATGTTCGTGTCCCCCTTAAATTCATATATTGAAGCCCCTAACCCCGGGGTGATGGTATTTGGAGGTGGGGCCTTAGGTAGGCAGTTAGATCATAAGGGAGGAGCTTTCATGATGGGATTAGTGCCCTTGTAAGAAGAGATGGGCCATGTAAAGATATAGCCAGAAGACAGCCATCTACAAACTAGGAAGAGAATTCTCACTAGGAACTGAACTGGTTGCCATCTTGATCTTGGACTTCTTGGCCTCCAAAACTATGAGAAATAAGCATTTGCTGTTTAAGCCACCAGTCTATGGTGTTTGTTTTATACTCCTAACTGACTAAGACACCACTACACACAAAATAGAATGGCTAAAATCAGAAACACTGATGAAACCAGTGTTGGTGAGAAGGTGGTTGATTGATATTTAAAATGACAGAACAACTTCAGAAAATGGTTTGGCAGAGTTTCTTAAAATGTTATACATACACTTACTGTATGATTCAGACATTCCACTCCGAGGTATTTACCCAAGAGACATGAAAGCATATATTTATACAAAAACTTCTGCACAAATGTTCATAGCACCTATATTTGTAATAATCAAAAACTGGAAAAAAAAGTCTTAAACAGGTGAATGTATTAAGAAACTGTGATATGTCGATATAGAAGAATATTAAACAATATAATTGAAGTGGCTATCAATATACACAATCACATTATCACACTGAGTCAAAGTAGGTAGACACATAATACATACTATATGATTCCAATTATACAGAATTCTAGAAAATAAAACTAACCTATAGTTTCAGAAAGCACATCAGTGTTTGCCTGGGAATAGGATAGGACACATTAGGGGGCAAGGGTGAGAGATTACACAGGGGCTTGAGGAAGCTTCTGTGTGACGGATGTACTCAGTTTGGTTTTGATGAAGCCTTAATATTTGTATATGCGGGTTGCTCGTCTTTTCGTGTACAGGGCCAATATTTTCTTCAAAACTACTACGTTATGTAGAGGGTCATGGATGTCCCTTCTTAATGACAAAATGACTATATTTAAAGTTCTCTAAATGGCAAATGACTTAGTAGCTAATGTTAAATTTTTTCTATTCTCACTAATAGAAATTTTTTAAAATATCATATTTTAATGCTATTTTATACTACTAGTGAATTTTTTGACTGATAAAAACACTATAAAATTACAAGTTATGCATTTGTATTTGAATGGAGTAACGAATTTCTTTGGAATGGCTTAAAATTGAGAAAAAACATTAAACGAGTGAGTCTGAATTGCCCAATGAGAAGGATGGTTTAATAGCTATTCAGTGAGAACCATGTTCAAAATAATACATTAAAGGAATACTGGTTCTTATTATAATAATTTAGTATTCATCAGAAATGAAAAATAGAATAATTTGATACTTTGGAATCTATAATAATTCAATGATTATAACATACTGACTTTCTATAAATAGAACATATCAAGAAGTGCCACAGAGTTATCTGTTAATATGCAAAAACTGATTAAAAGTAATGGGAAATGCTTTTCATTAAAAATATATAATGAATTTTATCCATCCTGTGAACGTTTTTGTGGTTTTATTTTTTTAGGCACTATAAAAAACATTTATTTGATCATTTTAATTTATTCAGTGTGTCAAAAAAAGAACATTGTCTAACTACTTTCAAAATCATGTTTGACACTCGGACTTAATGCATTATATGCTTCAGGATGATCCAGCTGTCAACAAGATATTTAAAAAATTAAAAGTAATATATGTGTTCCAAAGGCAAAAGCATCTAATCTTCCTTTGGCTATAAAAGGAAGAAATAATGCTAATTCTTGAAGATTGCTAGAATATGATCTATTCTTATTTAAATAGAAAATATATGTGATACATTTTACTAAAATAATTAAATTCTATATGAAGAAATATTTCCTAGCAAAAGTCCTTCTGTCTTGTAATCAACTACTAAGATGTTTTCTGATAAACACAGGGCTAATTGAAGGTTGATTGTTCACTGTTTATCTTAAAAGTTCAATGCTTTAATAACCAAACTCGTTAGTTTTAGACTGTTTACACAGCATCTTCTCATTTGAACTCATCTATTTCTGTTAATAATGTTAACTTTCTTCCAGAAACTCAGTCTCATAATACAGAGTTCTACTCCTTTTAGTTCATTCTCTGTCTTCTGTTAGTGGCACCATCACTGAGCTCCCCGTTTCACTCACTTTGGGGTCACCCATATTCAGCCAATTGTATCAGTCATACCGCATCAGGCCACTGCTGACCTTATGACTCCCCAGCTGAAACCATTTAAATGCATAATCCAATATCTATGAGACAGAGTCCAAAATTCTCACTGGGATTAAGGCTTTCTAAGATCGTCTCTCTGGAAATTGTCAAGACCTTCAAAGGGTTCACATTCCTGGCTAATGGCAGAAAAATCCTCCATTGACAAGATTATCTGTGTCTCTGCTCATTGCCTCATCTGCTCTCAGAAGAGCCAGCCTGAAGTGGCTAGAGTCTTTTCTCTTAGCAATTTTGTGAAGGCTCCAAGACATCAGTGTATTTGAATATCCTGGTCTTTTGCTAAAGTGGCTCCAATTTCAGCGAATGAATGATGTGAATCCCCAAAAACAATTAGAAGACTGTTCTGCTGCCACCTATTTATTTATTAGAGCTACTAGTGTCAGTTACTATCCTTAGTATTTACATAGATCATTTTATTTCATCCTCTTTGCCTTTAAGTAAATTCCAATTATGATCTTTGGAAAAAATGATGGTTTAGAAACTTTAAGTAACATGTCCAAGATCACAAATCTAGGTAGTGATGGAGCCAAGATGGGAATCTGTATGTCAAGCTCTAGAGCACTTCTCTTCCACGTTATTCCACATACATATTTCTATCTTTGTCATTCCACATTCCAAAATGCATCAGGGAATATGTTGGAAAATATATAACAATATGGCTAGGACCTTAACAACACCACCAACAAAAACTGTGGCTAATGGTTTGGTATTATCTGTCCCTCGAGAAAAGTTTATCCAAAAATTACATTTTATCTGACCATATAAGATGGCAAAAAATAGGAATGTTCTAATTATAATGGTTTCTCATTTTCTCTTATTCTTTCATGTTCCTTGTGCTTGTGTGACCATTGTTGTGGTTCTACATTTTCCACCAGAGGCCATGAGTCAACTGAATGCTCAAGCATAGATTTGGAATTAAGATTGCTTTCCCTTCGTTATTGCAAAAGAAGTTGCTTTAGCTGTGGAATGGATATACAATTTCTTCCCAAGCACCAATCAGAAAAAGTATAATGCAAATCTTTCTTCCATGAGGGATAATTGTGCTTTCTTCATCATGTTCTTAAATCTAACTTCTTTCTATCTTTTCCTTGACCATCATGATAAGTTTTAATTCTTTTGTCTATTATCTAAGTTATTTCACTACCTCTTAATTGGTCTTCCATCTTTAGTCTTCCTTTAGTATTTTGTACGCATGACACCAACCAAAACTTTTATTATTTTCCTGAGGAAGATCTACCCTGAGCTAACATCTATTGCCAATCTTCCTCTTTTTTTGCTTGAGGAAGATAAGCCTTGAGCTAACATCTTTGCCAATCTTCCTCTATTCTGTGTGTGGATTGCTGCCACAGCATGGTTGACAGGACAAGTGGTGTAGGTCTGTGCCTGGGGTCTACAGCCATGAACCCAGGTTGCTGAAGTGGATTGTGCTGAACTTAACCACTGCATCATGGGGCCGGCCCCCAACCAAAACTTTTTAAACAGTTTGTCATGCCACCCCTTCTCCCAAAACATCCATGAGTCCTTATTGTCTCCTCCTGGAGGGTAAGTGGCATTTAACATTTATTTTTCTGTCCAGACTGACAAAAAATGCAAGAGCATTCTCATGCTTGTCTTTGTACATATATACTTTTAAATGAACAAATCATAAATGAATGAGTAACGAAAATGTCTCATATAGTAGAAACATCACATATCAAGTGCAAGTGGTATTTAATTATCCTTTTACATTTTTCAAATACTGGTATGACTAATTCAAGGGAATCAATTCAAATCTCCCTAGTGGATGAAACTTGAATTTGTTATGTATTTTCATAAGGTATGGACACTGTCATAACGTGCAATTGGGAGATTCGCATACCAAAAGCACACTTGTTGAGATTTTAAACTATGCCCACAAATCTTTGATAGTAATCCCTTCCAAAAGTCCTGCCTAATTCCTCTCCCCTTATGAGTGCATTGGCCTTTGTGATTTGCTTCTCTTTGAATGAATAAATTATGGAGAAGGTGACAGCGAGTGTGAGTGACCTCTAAGAAGACATAAAAGGCATTGTGGTTTCCTCCTTACTCTTTCTTGGTTCGCTCACTCTAGGTAAAGCCAGCCTCTGTGTTATGAGGACACTCCAGCAGTCCTATGGAGAGGATCATGAGGAGGGAAACCAAGATCTCCAGAGGAACAGACACCCCCTGACAACATCCAGGGGAGTAAGCTGGGAAGCAGATTACCTGGTCTTGGTCAAGACTTCGTATGACTGCAATCCTGGCCAGCACCTTCACTGCAACTTCATGAAAGATCCTAGACCAGAACCATCCAGTTAAGCTGTCCTGTTTTTCCAACCCATGGAAATAATGAGAAAATAAATGTTTGTTGTTTTAGGTCATTCTATTTTGGAATGATTTATCATATAATAATCAATAACTAATACAGTACCAGGGGCAGGTTTTAATTTGGAATGAGTGTATAGGAAAATATAAAGAATATGGTCAGAAAAATTTATCTTTTATCCTTTATTTTTTTTATATATAGAAATTAATAGGCATTATGTAGAGAAAATAGGAACACTTTTCATGGGGTATTTGGGTTGCAAAGTCAGAAAATATAACTCACACTTATGTCATCATCGTTATAATTCTTACCAAATACTATTAAAAATAAACTATTTCAAATAGTACTCTTGTATTCAATGACTTTTATAAAGCCATTGAATAACATATCCCAGCTCTTAGGAACTCACAGAATATAGCAATCTCTACTCCATAAGTATTCTCTGTGTAATGTTTTACTTCTTTCTTTCGTTTATTTTTATAATAGAAAATCTATATTCCAAATTACTTATCCATTGTGTATTATATTTTCACCAATGAGATATATGTTTTGATAGTGCTTATAAAGTTGTATAGAATAGCTGTTCAATCAATACTACAATTGGTTTGCAAAGCATGTAGGCAAAGCTCAAATGCCACACTTTTTCTCTTTTTTAAAATTGATTTTATATTAGATATTTTATTTTATTCTATATTGTGTCAGGTAATGACAAAACAATTTCTTAGAATATGGAAAAATTTTTAGAATTTGCACAATAACTTTGTAAAAAGTGAGTAAAGCCGACAAATAAGATGTACTCTTTAGGAAACAGGCTGTTTAATGTGCTTATTTATAAAAATAGCTATCAACTGTGTTTCTATATTCCAAGTACTTTTGCCCGGATAATAAAACAAAATAACTAAGCTTTTTGTAGAGAGGATGCAAATGAAATAATTTTTATATTCTTTTCCAATACTCGTTAAATAGAGCAGTGATTTTATTCATTCTTATTTTAGACAATTGCATTTATTCACCTCCTCTTACAGAAATCTGAGTCTAACCAATACTATTCAAAAGAGAAAACTAATCAGCCTTATGGAGAGAGACAGCTTGTCATTCTCCACTTTCCGTATCTACATTAATTTGGTTTTAATTTGGTGTGGTTCTTCCATTTATCCAGGAACTGAGGCTTGCGATTTTTTCTTAACTTGTGAGGGAATCCTAAATATGTTTGCATGGCAAATAGAAAAGTTGTAAGCTGTATACAGCAAGAAAACGCTCAACAATGGTAAAACTCCATCCTGTGTGCTGTAGGGTGACTATCTACATGTTTGTTTTATTGATTTTAATTTGCATATCCTCTGTCTGTCCTTAAATTAGATGCAGGATCTTAATAATTTCACTTGAAACTCAAAGCCCAGATTTTGCTGTGTGAGGAAGTTTCTGAATAAGACATCAAGTTTCTAGCCATCAGAGGATAATTTATTGATACTTGTCAAAAGGAAGTATCAGTCTAACAGAAATCAAGACAAAAGGAATGCCTGATGAATTTTCTTTGAAGTGCCTTTTATAAAAGTCCTTGGTAATACATATTGATGAACTCCAAATTGTCTTGCCTGAAGGGAAAAGAAAGTAGACTGCTTTACACTGTCTTATAAATATTCATCAAAGGAACAAGACTTATGTTTCCAGGCGTGAGGTGAATGATTACGGTTGTATGATTGCCTTGGAATCTGGATAATTAGTAAAACAGCCGTTGACAGTTAGAGAATTTTAAACTTGGTATCTTGCTGTCACTTCATTTGGAGTCAGAGATAAAGCTTCCTATGCCAAAGGGAAGCAATTTTTAGGGCATGATAGATTGATACTATCAAGTTCTAGCCATCAGATGCTTTCACTGTTGGTTTATGTATTTGTTTAGCTGAAAATTAAAACAAAAATAATAGATTTTATTGTATTGAATTTTTATTTATTACTTGGTAATTCGTTTTGGTCTACCGAAACAGTACTGCTTTCACTAAGGATGGTTTGCTAGATCTTTGTCTTAATTAAAACTCAAACATTGTAGACTGATAGAATGACTTCATCCAAATGTCCAGAGAGAAGAGTTCAGTTGATTATTTTTTGTGATATTGTTGTCATTTTGCTTCCAGAGATCCACTTTGGACTGAACATTTAACCGTATGTTTCTTTTGCTTGTTGAGTCCATATGATTAAAGATCCAATTTAATTAAATGGATATGGAATATTTGATGTTTGGAGGATAAGTATGGTTCATATCAACAATCAGGAAGTATCTCTCATTTTTGAGCCAGCCCTAATGGCCTAGTGGTTAAAGTTCAGTGTGCTCCGCTTTGGTGGCCCAGGTTCTGATCCCAAGCGTGGAACCACACCACTCGTCTGTCAGCAGCCATGCTGTGCTGGTGGCTCAAATAGAAGAACCAGAAAAACTTACAGCTATATACAACTTTGTACTGGGGCTTTGAAGGGGGAGAAGGAAGAAAAAATGAGGAAGATTGACAACAGATATTAGCTTAGGGCGAATCTTCCCCTGTAAAAGAAAAAAAAAAAACTATCATTTTCAAGCCGTTTGTAAATTTCTCCTGTCTCTTGTTTCATAAGCTATCCTCTCACCAGTTAGGAGGAAAATATTCCATTCTCAGGAAATGTTACCCTTTACAGTGTCTAGCACTTAAATGCAATTAAGCAAATATAATACCTCCTTTGAAGCAAATAGTTGCTCAGCTTAAGTAACTGAAACTAATTATTTCTGTTGAATGAAAGACATATTCATCAAGTAGTTGGAGAATGCTTTCTTCATCTTGAAAAGAAATAAGCACCTATGTTGCCATTACGGTCAGAGGAACACTCTACATTCTACATATTCCAGTTGATATCTATATGTAGACCCAAAGGTAAGAAAGTGAAATTTAAGTTGATATGTGTCCAGAAGGAGAATGAGGAGAAAACAAACAAACAAACAAAAGATTAAGGGAACAACAAATTGAATAAATTATTCTCCCAGAAAATGTTTAGGTATTTTCTCAAAAATGTGTCCTTTTTGTGAGAGAGATTTTACTGCTTCAAAGACTTTGGCCAGAAACATACAGAGATTTTGAAATATCCTGCAGTGCTGAGCTGTGACAAATGTGGGGCATGACAATGATGGTGAGGAGGGCATTGGCGTTCTTGAAAAGGTAGTTGGATAGTTTGATAAGGAAAGTTAATTTTTTTTCCAAAAGGAAAGGAATAATCTTGCATTCACTCTCTTTTTTCTTTTTTCCAATCTTGCACTTTGTTTAATGTGCTGTATAATTCATCTCATTCAGAATCTATGAAAAATAGTTTGGAAAAAAGAGTTTCATAAGGCATATGGTGTCAGCAGTCTGGAACACTTGAATCGATCATACAGAACACCTAGACGAATTCAATACGGAATAGAAACAGACCGAGAAGAGCCTGGGAACTGAAGTGTCAGTATCTCTGAGGAAATCTACTATTTTTCTTTTATTTCTGGGAAACCACCACTGAGAGACTTACCAACTAAGGGTGATATTATTTTTAGACCATTTTTCCAAGTCTCCGAGGAACAAATCTCCATTTAAAATATAAATGGAAGATTGCAGGAAAATGAGCTGGGCAGAAAAAGAGAAGTGACAGTAAAATATTTAAAACTCTGCTTTATTTGCCACATTAACCTGAAACTATGTAATGTCAAACACAGCCTCACAGTATGCAATCAGTGGTGCACAAACGTATTATAGTTGAAATATTTCAAATGTCTAGATGCAGAGAACCACAAGGGAATGGCTACTATCTAAAAATAATAGCTGCAATTAATATTTGGAAGATATGGGGGAACACAACACTCACTAAACATAACCCTGGTGGGATTTCTGTTAGGGCATTGTGTCTGCTCAGAGTACAATGTCATAAGTGAGATAGAACATTACAGGTGTCACTAGGAGGGCAAACGATGCAAGGACAGTAAATAAGGTTATTCAACTTTCCAAAACTTTCCCTGATAGGGACTGAAATGACTTACATTCTGCTCAGTGGTTCCTTGAAGAAATAATGAGTTTTAATTGTACTTGGTGATGGTAGGGGTGGGAGGGTTCAGATGACGCTTGCATTCACAAAAGGAAGAGTAGACGTGGGCATGGGGCACACACAAAAAATGTTCACCCCCCCCCCACCAAGTCCAATTAATTCCAATAAATACAGATGTAAATTCAGGAAGTTATCATTTGTTTATCAGAAAAGAAAGGAACAACAAGCTGGCAGTAGTAAACAGTGTATTTCACACTTTTTGGAGTGAAACTTGATGTGAATTTTGCAGTATGTATAAAAATCCCTAAGGAGAAAAAGAGAGCATACTCTTTGACCAAAGGAATCCACTACTAGAGATTTATCAAAAGAAAATTAATAGGAAATTGTATCAAGGTATATGTGTAAGAATGTTCATATAGTAGTATTTAAACATAAAAAATACTAGAAACAGCTCAAATGATTAATAGTGAAAAACTGGTTAAGTGCGTTGTGTTAAATCCATATGCCTATGTAATATTTAGCCATTAAGAAAATATTTCATAGATTTTTATTTATATCCATATAAAATCATATATTGAGAAGTGGATGTATATGTGTGTGTTTAGCTCTATCCATCCATCTATCAATTATCTACTTATATAGATGATTTTATGGGCTGAATTGTGTCCCCAAAATTCATATGTTGAAGTCCTAACCTGCAGCACCTCAGATCGTATTTGGAAATAGGTCCTTAAAGAAGTAATTAAGGTGGGGCTGGCCCGGTGGCCGAGTGGTTAAGTTCTCTCACTCCGCTGCGGCAGCCCAGGGTTTCGGGGGTTCGGATCCTGGGTGCAGACATGGTGCCACTCGTCAGGCCACGTTGAGGTGGCATCCCACGTGCCACAACTAGAAGGACCCACCACTGAAGTGTACAACTATGTACCAGGGGGGATTTGGGGAGATAAAGCATGAAAAAAAAAATTGGCAACAGTTGTTAGCTCAGGTGCCAATCCTAAAAAAAAAAAAACTATTAAAAAAAAGAAGTAATTAAGGTAAAATGAGGTCATATGAGTAGGTTCTAATCCTATGACTGGTCTTCTTGTAAGAAGAGAAGATTAGGATACACACAAGTGCAGAGGGAAGACATGTGAAGACAGAGAGAGAAGAGGGCTTTTTGCAAGCCAAGGAGAGAGACCTAGGAAGAAACAATCCCACTGACACCTTGATCTTGGACTTTAGCCTCCAGAATTGTGAGAAGATAAGTTACTGTTGTTTGAGCCCCCCGAGTCTGTGGTACTTTGTTGTGGCAATCCCAGGAAATTAATACAGATAGGTTTTAGTCAAAATTTAAAAATAGTTATCTCTAGGTATTTTTTTCTCTTGGCAATCTGTAGTTTCTACTTTTTACATAAACATATATCATTTATATAATTTAAAAATATTTAGGAAATAAAAAAGAAAAGGAAAATGTCAGACTATCTTAGTTGTGAAACACTAAATGTTTGGGAATCGTTTCTTCTAAGAATTGTATTAAGAATTAAGGATAAAATACTAAATTTATCTGATTGTTCACAGGCGATCCTGCCCAGAAGCTAACTTTTGTAAATGTTTTGCTAGCTCTGTCATTTCTTGCTTCAAATGAAATCAAACAACATCTCAATTCAATAGTTTCAAACACGGTAACCACATCAGAGCTGACTAGCTGAAAATAAGAGAGACAACACTTTTCTTGCAAAGATCCTAAGTTCTTATTCAGTAGAGGCCTTGCGTTCTGGAACTTTCTTTTCCCCATAGCACCTAGCAGAGTTCTAGACATGAAATAATCCCTCGTAAATACTTTCTGACATTTAAAAAATGGGAGTGATAAACTGCTTCTCAATAGTTTACTTTGCTTCAACACTTTACTAATTGATATACCTGTGTATTGTGGTGGAATATACCTAGAAACCTTCAGCTTCTTGATTTTAAAAGCTACCCATCAAAATAGAATCAGGGGTATGTCATTTTTTTCCCTTAAAAAAATGAATAAAACCCAGAGTATATTGCATCAGAGAATTTGCCCTGGAAATGTCAATATCAGGTGTATGATAGTTAGAGAATAGAACATGGAAGTGACAGTCAAACTGCATTCAGCATGGTCATTTATCAAAAGTTTGGACTGCCTGTGCATAGTATATTTTTTATTCTGTAAGAGAGTTCAAAGTCATCTCATCTTCTGAATTCAGCACTTTCTCTAAAATCCGTATAAGCATGTTAAGATTTAAAAGAACGTAGTTTTATCTATAAAGGAAGAATATGTAAATATGTTTCAAATAAAAAATATAAATTTTTGGAAAATGTATCATTGAAGGCTTAGGCAAAATATTTCAGAGGAGGAAAATAGTTTTCTTGATATTTGGTTGTTAATTTAAATTTTTTTTTTTTTTTTTTGCTTGAGGAAGATTAGCCCTGAGCTAACATCTGTGCCAGTCTTCCTCTACTTTGTATGTGAGATGACTCCACAGCATGGCTGCTGAGTGGAGTAGGTCCACACCAGGGATTCAAACCTGCAAACCCGGGCCACCAAAGCAGAGCATGCAGAACTTTAGCCACTCGGCCATGGAGCTGGCCCCCTAGTGTAAGATTTTTGGTAATACTGTACAATTGTTTAGGATCTATTAGCTTTCTGTCTCAACTGCTGTATAATTGCTTTAGATAATTATACATAACATGGTTTCAATTTTTTCTATATATATATACATTAAACCCTGTGAAAGTTTTCCTCCAGAAAAAAACTAATGTAGGATATATATAATTTGGGGGTGTCATCTTCATAA